CCTTCAAAAAAAAAAACAAAAAAAAAAAACAAAGGTTTTTTTGCTTAATCCGGTTGCCCCCCCCCCCCACTGATCCGGATCTGGGTGGACCGGGGTGAGTCAACCGGCCGGTTCCCGGCCCAGCCCTGAGGCATATCCAATTCTCCTTTTTTTTTAACCAATTCATAATGATCAGACCCGCTATCAATTATTATTGTTCTCTAGGACTCGTTCATTTATTTATTTATAAACATTTTATTCTTTCATTTTTTTATTGCCAAAGAACTTCGGTATATCACCCTCAGGCAAAACTTGTTCAGTTTATTTTTCTGCACAACACAGTTTTTGAAACGGTTTTCACCTTCGCAGTAGTGGATGCAGATCCCAGGGCTCGATCCCTAGACCTCACAGTATTCCCGTGTGTTTGAACTCATGACCTGCGTCATAGGAGTCTGTAGTTGTCTGTCCTAGGTCGTAGCTGTAGTAGTTTGGAAGTGTCAAAGTCGTAGCCGCTACAGTCCCGAAAGGTCAAGGTCGTAGCTGCTACAGGTACCGAAAGGCCAAGTCTAGAGACTTCCGGAAGCGGCCTTTCAGAGTAGGCTCACGTTTAGACAGAGGCAAGTGGGCAAGTGGTGGAGCCAACCTCAGTACGTTGGCAGTGCGACTGCAGTGAGTCTGCGGCGCAAACCCATGCAGTCAGCGGTACCGGTCCCAGTCAGTCAGGGTCCAGTCAAGCAAGTACCGTATGGGACTGTGCACTGGGGCTTGGGAAAAGGGGCAGACCGACGAGCTACAGAAGTATAAATCAAGAGGCAGCGTCCAGTCATTCATTCATTCCTGCGTAAGCCATGCGGAAGTGCTGCTTCGGCGACTTGTGCGAGGTGGTCTGCAGATGTGCCCATTGTCGAAGTGGGCTGGAGGAGGCAGTATAGACATAGTTGTAGGTGGTGACTGCGGCCATAGCCGCCATAGCTGTAGCTGTACTGCAGTGTGTGTGGGTGCAGGGTATAGCGTGTGGGATATCCAGGGTGATCCAGAGTTGTGAGTGTGGGAACAGGGTGTTGAGTGCAGTGACGAACTGAGGGTTGTTGGGCGCTTGTGTGCCATAGCCATCTGATGCGAACTTGTATTCGAACTGTGTTCTAGGTTGCCATATCTTTGAGCTTTGAGACTAGGCGCTTGTCGCCAGTTTGGTGTGCCTCCTGTTTGCATTCATGTGAAGTGAGCAAGAACGAGAGTCTGATTGCATTTTTTTTTTGGGGGGGGGGATGTTTTTGCACGGGAAATGAGCAGGAGCAATAGCGAAATGACAGAATTCCAAATTGCAACACCACATTGCAGCCAGATATTCTCGATCTGTCCAGAAAGCAGAAATGCACGAATGACACAGCAAAGAACAACCAAAAGCAGCAAACTCAATCGTCAATGAAAGCCTTCTCTACGTTCTCTCGCCAACATCAACACGGTAGCATCCGATGCCTCTTTTCTCTGTTGGCACTCAGCGCCCAGACTACAATCGTACAGCTCAAACGAATCCCCCTGCAGCCTGGCTCTTTCCTATATGGAAAAGGGACAGGCGTACAGACTACCTGGACTGGGAGGCCCATGTGCCCAGGAGTTTCACGCCGGGCCAAAGTGTCTACTCCCAGGCCCGATTCAGACTGTCCTGGGCCCGCAGCACTTAGGCGTGTGCCCAACTACCCTGCGTGGCCTGAGTCGTTCGCTGCGTCGTGATAGGCCGACAGGCCTCCATCGACGTCGGGCCAGGAAGAGCCCAGAAGGCTCTCGCCATCATCAAGATGGTAGCATCCAATGCCTCTTTTCTCTATTGGCGCTCAGCGCCCAGACTACAATCGTACAGCTCTGGGAAGAGCCCGGAAGGCGCTCAGCTCCCAGATGTAGTTTCTCACAAACACGATACAAGTAGCCGACTTGCGAGTGACAACTGTCTGGCGTGCGCAAGGCCTGCGGAAGGCCAAAATAGGGGGCGCCTTCACTTAGGGCGGGCACAGGTCTGCTTATAGGATGGGGGGCCCAAAGAGCCTGCCGAGGACGAGAATCGTCGCATTTTGGGTTCAGACTCTTCAGAGTATTTTTCTGCACAAAATAGTTTTCTGGGGGGGGGATTTTTTTTTTTCTTCTGTTTTTTGGGGGGAGGGTGGGGAGTGTTTTGTTTTTTGCTTTTTTTTTGACAGGGACCTTCCCTGGCCCTTTCCTGTTCGGGCCGCCCCGGGAAACCAAGGTGCCCCTGGTGGCCTAGTTGGCACCACAGGTTACTATAATAAGCATTGATAGAGGAAAAACACAACATACCAAACATTGCAGCTGGGCTGGGCAATCAAAATCAAACCCCTTGCTCGCTAAAACCCACCCAAACCCCTGGCAAACCACAAATTCTCCCCGAATTCACTTTTCACTGTATTCGGTGCTTGGCGGGTTAACCTAGGGCTGAAAAGTCGGGGTCCCTGTTACCAACTTGTGATGATATCATAGCAATGCGATGGGGGAGTGTGGCTATCCCGAAGACTTCAATGAATCCGGTATTAATTTTCTTTTTCTTTTCTTAAGGATCGGGGGAGTTCGGGGTGCGTCAGGGAATATTCACAAACGGTGGGTGGGTGGGTAGGGGGCCTCGCGGACAATCCGGTCCAAGACAACAAGCGAGTTAAAAATAAAAAATAAAAAATCCGGTATTCATCATCGCAGGCCGACACGACAGGCAGATCTCATCTCAGCTCGACAAATCTCAATTCCAGATTAGAACACCGTCTTCCCCCTGAACACAACCCACCCTCATCATGCCTGTATTGCACTGGAAATTCAGGTTATATACATTCATGATGAGGGTGTGTGCATTCTGGTCAGGGGACAACGGTAGGCATGGTCATCATGGCAGCCCTCTCCGCTCGACAAATCTCTTATCACTCAAAAACCCTAAACCCTCAAAACAGGACCGACCGCAAAAAAAAAGCACATTCCTTCATTTTTCAGTGACGTACAGCAATAGCACGAACCCGGTATATTTTTTGCAAATATAGCAGGAACCTGGTCAAGAACCATGGCCAGGTTCATGCATGTCAAACGCCCTCCTCCTCACCTGAGATTAGTTCCCTCAGAGCTTCATCGATTGGTGTCGGGATTTTGAGTGTTCCAATGGAAAGCCGCGTTGCATTCAGAAGAGAATTTGCAAACTTCTGCCGCGCAGAACTCCTAGAGGGGTCCGATTCGGCCGCCGCAGCCACGCCCACGGCGACCGGGACTGGGACGCCGGTGGAGATGGAAACATCTTCGCCTTCAACAACATTGCGATGGGCAGCCACAGCATATAATCCATGTGATTGCGATCGGGATCGAACTCTCAGAAGAATTCGACGGCAGCAGTGTGCAGCTCGCCTCCTTGACAAAGTACCCACCAAT